TTCAAACGGCCAAAGCCCTAAACGCTATGTTTATCGGCTTTTCCAATTTTGGCTTTTTGAGATAAAAACCAAGTGAAATAGCTAATTAACCAAACACCTCTATTAGCTATTTATCTGGTCCAAAAACCAAATAAAATCAGCCAAAAAATGGCTGATAGGCCATTAACCAAAGAGATATTACCCGAAATAGGACTAAAACACTTTGAAAATTTCAAAATAGAATTTTCATGTTTTTATTCCCAAAATAGGACTAATTACTGCCATGTTTTGGCAGTACCAGACTTCAAACATGTCAGTATTTTCTAAACATGGCAGTAATTAGTCCTATTTTGGGAATAAAAATATGACAGCCTTATTTTGAAATTTTGAAACTGTTTTAGTCCTATTTTGGGAACTTTTAACCAAACACCCCCTTCATCATTGACTCTTGGCTCTGGTAGACCTCAATGACTTAGTCTAGTCAGGTTTAGGATGTTTTTACTAGAACTAAAACTTTCTAGTACGAACTGATCTAATAAATGTTTGATGTTTGTGTATTTTATAAACGTTCAAGTCTAGTTTGGCTTAATCTGGTATGAGACTGAAAACTGTCCAAATAAAAACATCCTTAAACTTCTAATCGGCTCTATTTTTAATAAATACTCTTCTATATTTCTTTGTTTGAAAAAAAAAAATGTTGTCCCACATTATGTTATGCTATAAATTCAAATATAATTCTAATATTTGATAAACAAGCCCAATTTTTGCAATACATAAAAGTAAATGATGTAAATAAAACTGTGAATATTATAAACCTCATGATCTGGCATTATAAAACAATTTACACATGCAAATTTGGAATGAGCTTTCTAAAGCTCAAATTTTATGTCAAGTATGATGGTGTTCTACGATGACATTATGTGATACATACTATCAATGAAGAAGTCACAGGGTTGAAATAGGGATGGACTAAACCGGGCTGGTCCGGCCAGGAACCGGCCCGGCCCTCTACTGTGCGGGCCCGGATCGGACCGGACCGGGACCGGTTGGCCGGTTCCGGGCTTTTAGCCCGTTTGGGCGGGCCGGGCTCGGGCCCAATTTTGGGCGAATCGACCCGGGCTGTTCGGGTCGGGCCCGGGTCAATTTTTTTTGTGTTTTTTCAATTTTTTTTCTTTTCCTAGGGTAGGGCTGGATGTTTTGGGGAGGTTTGGGGATGGGGGTGGGGGGTGGGGGCCCAGTTAGGCCCGAACCCGGTATCAACCCGGGCCGGTTCCGGGCCCAAGGATTTGCAAAAAAAGCCCGCCCGGGCCCGGCCCAGGTCCATCCCTAGGTTGAAACACACTCCGGTCAACAATGTTGACATTCAACTAGAACACACGCAGTACATCATACTTCTTCATCCCAAATCAATTGTCTTATTTGAATTGGAACAAGTTTTAATAAAGTGATTGAAAATATAAAGGTTGTGGTTGAAATTTGAGTAAAAAAAGTGAAACGGTATTAACACAAAAAAACAAAACAACGCACACTACAAAAAAATTATGAGATTGACACGGAATTTGGCACGGGCTTACTGATTTTTCGTGCCAAATAACTTGTGCCAAAGTGTTTTTGGCACGGATTTGGCATTTTCATGCCAAAATTCCTGCCAAATCTCTGCCAAATCTCTGCCAAAATCTCTGTCAATCCCGTAGTTTTTTTGTAGTGACAATTCTTTTGGGACATCTCAAAAGGGAAAAAATATGATAATTATTGTGGGAGGGAGAGCGTAATAGATTAGAAATCACAACAACAAAAACTTAAATTCATACATGAGTTTTGTACCCGACTTAGCTAGCTTGCGGATTCCTATTTTTACATTGAAATAACAATTCTGCGGTTCTGCCATCCACTATTTTGTCACATGCACAAAAAGTCCCGCATACCCCTTGACGTAATTAATTTAATAAATAATCACTGAATAGTTTAATCCAATCTATTAAACCATGTCATTCATCCCCTTATCGGGCGTTAATGAAGAAAAACTTGCAACACAAGTATGTTTTATCAACACAAGTTAACTCATGGCCTATACAACAACAAAAGAGTTTGGGTCCGCCCTCATGAAATCCCTATAATATTTAGAAAAAAAACTTGCACTTTGCCATGTACACCCGCTTAATTTGATGAACTTTTACCGCTGTGAACTTGTGAAGTAGTCATACACCAAATCTTATACCTAACAGTTCCTGACACCAGGGATGGATTTAAGGGGGCGCAGGGGGTGACCGCCCGCTTGCATTTTCAAAATTTTCTAGTATATATGTAATATTTTGATAAAATTTTCAAACGTTAATTAAATATATTTGTGTTCGTTCCCTTAACTTTTAGTTTTCAAAATTAATGTATAGCTTTAATTTACATAATGTAATACTTAATTGGAGATTTAAAATAAGAAATATCTAAAATAATTTACATAACTTCAGAGGCGGCTTGAGCATTTTGGAGGCCCTAGACGAAAAATATTTAATATGTAAATCACTTTTAAAATCAGATAAATTGAATAAAAATCGCCTTATGAAAAAAAGCATATTCAAAGTCCACGATATAATATTTGTAATATTCAAAAGGATAAATTTTAAAATGCAAACTTATTCAAAACACAAGGCAAACTTGTACTTGTAAAAGTATTAAGAGACTTCAAGAACGAGACTCGGAGAGAAGAGCTGAAGAGTCTTAGTTGATTCACTAACCAAGGACCCATGTCGACGGCGGGCAGTGAGGCATATATACAGTAGCCGATTAGCGGTCTGTGTTGGACGTTGATGCGTGTTGAGATCGGATTTTGATAGTTTTTTCATAACTTTAAGGTGTCATAAGTCTCAATTTTAAGCTCAAGTCATATTTACCGGTCGTTGGTTCGAGTTTTGGTATTTTTGGAGTCAAAATCAGGGAATTTGAGCCTGACACCGGTGTTTGAGAAGCAATAGGGACGAGTTGAGAAGCATTTTAGAGTTGATTAGGAGCATTGGAGATCAGTGAGGTGTTAAAGACAAAGTTTTGAAGACAAAAGAGCTCTAGAATTGGCTACGGGATCAAAAGAAGACGAATAGAGCTTGAAAACAACGATCAGGATGACGTTCTGTCAATCGTTCAAACGTATCTTTTCTTAGGAACATCCAAAAAACATGATTCAAGTTTCATATAAAATCCAACTTCAAGGGCTAAAAATCATATGAAGACACCATTGTGAGAATCTGAGAGAAACAAGGTGAAAACAGACGATGAAGTCATATATTTTATTCATATATTTTTATTGGATGATTCAAATCCAATTTTGCAAGTTGTGTTGGATAGAAGACTTCATTAGCTACAACTTTGATGAAGGACGAATAGTCAAAAGTGAACTATAAAGCTGATTTCTGCTTGCAGTTGCCGCTTGGTGTATTGACGATCTGCGAATAACACCTAATACTAATACCGGAGTAGAATTTTTTGGAGGCCCCCTTGGTAGTTGAGGCCCAAGGCAGTTGCCTGGCCCAACTACCCTCAAAGCCACCTCTGCATAACTTAAACAAATGATCGAACATAGAACAACTCATTATTTAAGGACTTAGGATACTCATTATACAAAAATTCCTTGTTTTGTAATGTTTAATTATCTTTATTAGATAATTAGTACTCGATTTTGTAAAATATTTAACAATATTGAATACAAAACACATTAGTTGAACAATTTTTAGATCATGTGAAGTGAATTCAAAATTTAAATGTTTGTTGACATTAAATTACACAATGCTTTTACTTTTTATTACTTTCTAAAAAAATTATTGAAATTATAATAAACTTTCACTTATTTTAGCATTAAAACAAATATAATATGCACCATATATATGAATTAGCAATATAATATTAATTTAAAAATAATAATCTCAATATTAAAAAAACTTCTTGAAACTCACAAACAACTTCCTTGGTAGACAAAAAATACAATTCCAAACCCAATTCTATTTTCTGATAAGATTCACGCAGTTAAGCAATGTAAGAGTTATTTAAAAATTATTTGTTGATGTGTAACTTTTAAACTCTTTAACTTCAAATATTTTGATAAAATTTTATATATCCTTTTCCTTTCCAAATAATTTTCCTTTGATTTGTCATTTCTTACGCTTTAATGTATCAATTCAATACCTTTTTCTGGAGCACTTCAATTACAAAATCAAAGTTATTTTTTCATTGTCTAAACTTCAAATCTAATAAATTTAGATTTAAATGTCATTGTGTATGTACTAATGAAATTTTTTTGAATAAAAATTAGCCGCAAAGACCTACAATAGCGAAAGAATTTCTCTCCGCTACACTAGCAGAAAAGTTTTCGCCTTGCTGCACTACCGGAAAAAAAATTCACCTCCTACACTAATGGAAAAAATTTCGCCTCCCTTGACTCAAAATCTGGGATCCGTCCCTGCCTGGAACCAAGAAAAACAAATACAAAATGGAATGGGAGGAGCGCGGTGAGGGGGGTAGGAGTATATTTTGTGTTACAAGTTGGGTGGGAAAGAAGGGGGAGGGGAAATGTTAGCTCAAAAAGAAGGTAATCAGAATGTTAACCGGGCAAACCAGTTACAGCTCGGTTCCAATCACTAACGTTTAAAAAAATGAAAAAAATCAAAACCCTTACCAGCTGGTTCTGAGTTCTGACTGTACAAAGAAAACAGAACTGGAGTCGCTCGGTTCAGTGTTGTTTTGGAGGAAAACTGGTTCTGGCCTCTGGGTACCACCTCAGGACTGAAACCAAAACACAGGTGCCCACTTCAATTTTTTTACCCACCGGACCCAGTCTAGCCCTAGATCCTAAACCAGGTTCATCCCTAGTTGGGAGGGAAAACTAGACATCTTCCCCTCCCAGTAGCAGTTTCCCCTCTGACTAAACATACTCAAGGTCTGAGCTTGCGTTGTCTTTTATTGAACCCTGGCCAAGGGTTAATTTATCTTATTCAAGAGAGGGGGGGGGGATCTATTTTGTAGTAACTGACAGCTCTACTTGCATTGTTGTAGAAAATCACTTTATAGGTTGGGTATGCATGAAACCATTTACTAGACTAATATACTTATATTAATACAAGAGCCAGTTCCTCTTGACATTGTACCATACATAGAATATCCAAACTTTGAAGTTTCATCCATATCCAAACGATAAACACTTACACGTTGAATATTCAAACCTCTTACGGTCAACGAGCTTCAATGTTTTCAAGAAAAATGCTGCGGGTCGAACTATATTGTCAATGCAAATCTACAACACGGAAATCGGTAATTCTGGAAATGCATCAATGCCTTCTTCATGAAAACGAGATCCAAGAGTCGTAATTCAGAAGAGCTCTTCAGTTGGAAGGATAAAATGAGTGACAAGTTACCTTTAAAAAAATTGTTGGTATCAATAGTGTGCATATGATAAACATATAGGATTGAAAGTTCAGTTGACACATAAAACAGTAAGGAGAAAGGCATCAACTGTTAAATACAAAGAGATAAGAAGACAATCCAGTTTCTAGGTTTTACCAGCATGATTTGATGGGTCTGGGCTGAGTTGGGCGGGGATCATATAAAATAAGTTAACTAATGGGGCTGGGTCATGCTTTTGTAAAACAATTGTAGCCATAATTTGTCTACATAGTTTGTCTTAAGACACCGGCCTGGCCCACATGCACTAATAGGGTTGAGTGTAAATAGGCTTACAAGAAATATAAAGTTCTTTACTTTATACTCCGTATATCACAAAATACAAGTAATCAACTTAGTGAATGAAAAAAATTCATTACTCCAGAAAATGCAATATATTTAATAAAAGTTCAAACTTATCTACATCTATGATTTTGACAATACATCTTGGATGGATATGTACAAATATCACACTTACTTTCCATAGATTTTGTATTTTGATGATTGACACCCAATGGCAAAAAGAAAAGATTAGCAAAATAGCCTAGAGTGAGTGTGCACTGGGTAAGCTAGTAACCCTGTACAGCTACCATGCTACTATTATTCTATATATATTACTAACTTATGAATTTAGTAATAATGAAGTGTATAAATGGTCTTCCAGGCTGGGCTTAGTTGGGGTTAAGAGCCTGAGCATGAATGAGTCATGACGGTTTGGCCAATGGGTTGGGCTGGGTTTCAACTAGCCTAACTCATGCCCGCCCCATCAAATAGTGGGCAGGTCCCCACAGGTACATGCGCCCACGGGCTAAATGATGATACGAAAAGGACACCGTCACTTGAAATTCATATAAGTGAATGAGTGATGATACAGTATTGTGTTGTAAGTTGTAACGTATGCCCACCCATCAGTGAGAACAACTAATGTGTTTCCCTCATGTTTTAAGAGAGAATCTGATCATGTCAAGAAAAAGTAAGTGTGATTCAAAAAATTGACATGATTGTCATGAATATTTATACATTTATGACCATTATGAGGAATGCTTTTAGAAAACTGTGAGAATGAAAAAAATGATGATCTCTAGCAACTACAACCCTACTATTTTCCATTATTAACCAATACAATATGCATTGCCAAATAATTGTTGTTTGGCCAATAGAATCTGGTTGATGAGCTGAAAAAAAGGCTACCAAACGGACACCGGGCATTAGTAGGTTGGAGATAATTACAAACTATGAGTACAATAGTTATTACTTCACAGTTCACACAGCCAAAATTTCATGTAATAAAGCTATACATGATATCTGAGGAAAGAAAAAATGCAATTGTCTAATGTTACTAAGTGCATAAAGGTACCGAGTACAGTGTCCATATCTTCATGGCTATGAATCTATGATGATTAAATGCCTGCAAACATGTCCCTATCTCAGTTCATGTTTACAAACTTGACATAACCTCATAATAATGATAATACCGCAAAAGAAATATGTACCTCAAAGTGCCATACCACACCAGCTAATATAATTCATCATCAGGGATCTCTGGAGTAAGGAACTTCTCTGGATCTTTAGTGATTTCTGAGCTCAATGTAGATTTAACCCGTTCAGGAACGGGTTCAAGTGGAATAATGCTTTCTCTATCAATAACTCCATCAATAAGGCCATACTCCACTGCTTCAATTGGGGACATGTAGCGATCTCTATCGATATCTTTCTCAACTTGTTCAGATGATCGACCGGTGGAATTGGAAAGTATCCTTATTACATTTTGTTTGTTATGCATGATTTCTCGGGCCTGAATTTCAACATCAATTACCTGCCCACTCGCACCTCCAAGTGGTTGATGTATCATGATTCGAGTATTAGGCATAGCCAAACGCTTCCCTTTTGTGCCACCAGCAAGTATTAGAGAAGCTGTGGATGCTGAAATTCCAAGGGCAACTGTTGATACATCAGCTCTTACCAGCTGTACAACATCCAAAATAGCCATCGTGGCACTGGAAGGTAGAATTACATTATAGTACTTATTATTAGACCGGATATGATTCAAGGACAATAATAGCACATAAATTTTTGAGAATAGGTACAGAAAATGCGAAATCGACACTAATAATCCATTCTTTTATGCAGTTTATAAAAAAAATTGGGTCTTCACAACACTAAACACAAAATGTTAACAGGTTCACAAAAACAAAAGTGCTTATAGTGACTTTTTAATAATAACAAATTAAAATTAGTATTTTATTTAATAGTAGCATACGAAGTATTAGTATTTGATTTATTAATTTATTATTTTAAAAACTACACTAAATTCCCTATTATAATGCAAAAATAAATTAGCATGTGATAAAATTTTGATAAAAAGTAAGGAGATCATAAAAAACAGATCGAACAGATGGACATTTGTTCGAAAATATAATGCAGTGCCCAATTTGAGGGAAGAATCTTAAGAATTACAGTTGGGAAGTTTGCAGATGATTTGAAAATATTTAAATATTTTGACACGCAAACTAGAAGTAAGGGAAAATAAATATATTCAAACTAGGACTACACATAACCTGATAACCTTAGGGATGACCTGAAGTACTAATTTTAGACGTCTCCTTAAAAATAATATAATAATTGATTCATTGTTCATGTATTCCACCAAACAATCGCATATGTTGTAAAAGTATTTATGTGGTCAACCTTATTCTATTCAATTCTCTTCTTTTGTACTACCTCCGTCCCGTTCAAACTTCAAAGGTTCCCATGAAAAATGGCACGATTATTTAGACAATAATTAAATATGCTAACTCGAGTATATTTTGAGAAATTCTTTTGATGAGTACATAATATAATGGTTAAATATGATAACTGTGATGTTATAAATGTATTTTTTTAATATTTGATGTTTAAATTATTATTTAGGAGTGTTAATTTTTTCCTAAAATAGAAAATGTGAACCTTTAGTTGCGACGTTCAAAAAAGGAAAGTGAGAACCTTTGAATGGGATGGAGGGAGTATCAAATTTTCAACATATTTAAATATAATTTTTGCAACATAATCGAGCTCTTTAGTGTATTTTGAATAAAAAATAATTTCAGTACGGGAAAGTGAGCATTAATTCAAACTTTAGTCAAAGTTTTTAATTTGATGTAACCGTAATAATAAACGCATGGGATACAGGATACTAAATTCTTATGAATTTATTTCTAGTCCCTTTTTGTTAAATTGTGTTTACGCCTTTCTCCTAATCTGAAAATCATCTAATGTGAAAGCATTCATTCATTCCTAACCCTATATACAATAAAAGAAAAGTTTGAGATTTTGACACAAATAATCCTGAGTTTCGGTAAGTTTACAAAATGATCTCACCTTGTTAATGGTTCCACAAAAGTGAATCCACGTATCGGAACTTTAAAGCCATTAAATTGCAATTCTTTTTAACTCAATAACGAGTTGCAATTATTGTGGTATGTATCGACACTAGAGATTATTTTATAAGATGCGTAAAACTAGAGATTATTGTTTTCAATCTTGCCAAAAATATTGAAAAAAGTGAGAAGCAGACTCAGACTTCGGAAACCGGATAAAGTGAACGTTAATTATCTGGGAAGCAAACATAAACCATAGTCCCATAGTACAAGAGTGTTAATAGCCATATCAAAATATCATTTCGTAAGAAGGAAGGAACAGAAATGACAAAGTGACATTTGGCATTAAACTTGAACACTTCTTTTCAAGAAATTATAGTTTTCGCTCATTCTAGACAATTATTAAGCAACAAGACAACACTATCAGTTTATTGACCCTAAAATAGTCGGAATAAGAGGCGATGATGATGGAGTTTAAGGCAACACATCCTTAATACATGAGATGAGTTGAAGACAATTAGACAACACATCCTGCAATTCACAATGGAAAGTTGAGGGGCCAGATTTGTTCCAACCAATCCCAAATTTACTCAAGAAGGATATTTAAAAAATTGCAGAATGGCAAGTTTAAAAAGCTAGCACCTAATGAGGCCCCTCTGCATTCCTGCCCAATTAAAACCTTAACAGAATCATACCAGTTCATTGCACAGTATATTTTAACTCAACAAGATAACATCATTCCTATTGTTGTATTTCAATGTTTGGTGACAGATGCTGCCAAAATACTTTTCCAATTCAATGGTTTGCAATCCACGTGAAATATGCTTAGAAATCTCAAAACTTCGTTACATGATTCCCATTTTCAGGTGAAAATGAAACAAACTACATGAAAAAGATTACTACAATAGCTCATTATCTCGGACACGACCACTAAATACAGTTACTAAAGTTCCATATGTCTTTCTCACATTGAACATGACTGGTAAATTTATTCAAATGAGTAAAGCTTCACAACGAAAATCAAAACAGATAATGCTGAGAAGGTTAAAGTTCCTCCAAGAAAAGTGTATACCTCAGTGAACCACCAGGGCAATTGATGAAGAGCCTAATATCTCTAGTGGGGTCCTGAGAATCTAACAGCAACAACTGGCTCATAACAGCGTCAGCTACGAAGTCATCGATCTCGTTCCCCAAAAAGACGATCCTCTCCTTGAACAGTAAACCTATGGCGTCGCCCTCACCTCCACGCATTGTATTGGGCGGCATTCTCGGGGCCGAGTTGATAAGAAGTGAGAGGCTATCTCTTGTGTCTAGGGATTGAGAGTCAGAGAGGGGTTTCAGGGTTGTAGGTAGGTGAGAATCGAAAACGCATTTGATCGAGGGCAGTACGGACTTTCGAGAAGGGTGGCGGAGGAGGCCATTCCGGCGGTGGCGGAGTTGGGCAGAGAGAGAAGCGCGGTGAGGATAGAGAGGCGTTGAAATTAGAGCGAGAGAGTCCATTTTCAGTTCAGTGAAGCTTAAGCACAGAGATCAAGGGATAGAGAAAGAGTTCGTTATTTTCTCTCTCACTTCGGACCAAGACGTTTCCCATTTGAGATCCATGGTAAATGAGCAGAAGTGGCCCAACCTGATAAGAAAAGCCCATCTTGCTTATGGACCACTTGATCAGAAGTGGCCCAAAAAATAGAGCTATTTTAAAAGTGGTAATTACCCGTTAGAACCACTTATGTCTATATATCATTTATGTCCCACAACATTTCTTTCACTCCCTAACTTTTCATTTAATCTTTTTATTATTTCAAATATAGTTTAAACAACGGCTCATCCTGTCATCCCCACTCTCAGTCTCTCTCTGCTTTGACCCATCGTTTACCTCACGCAGTCTTCACTCTATGGCAGACGAATGCTATTTCAATGGCAGACAAGGAGTCACGGCCGTAGCCACCCTGTGGTCGCGCATCCCATCTCCATCGGCCGATTTCTGCTTTGATCGCCATCGTCCACCAGGTCTGTCGCTCATCTTCATCCCCTTCTTCCAAGTTGTGAGTCATCACTCTCAGAAGTCAGAATCATCACTGCCTTCTTCCATATTGCAAAAGGTTAGAAAACGACGATGATCGAATTCATTCTGAATTGTAACGCTCTCAACTTGTGTAACATCTTCCCCACAACCCTAAGCGACCATCGTAATTGATTTTTCCTCGACAAGTTGGTTAAATTCAAAATAAGGTTCTACTTTCCGAATTATAAAGCTTTGAGAAGCATTTTCAATACATGTCATTTATGATTCCAGGCAGAGTTTTTTTAATCTCAAATTGGCTCATCCAAACTCGCAATATTTGTTTGATTTTTTGAATTTTTAGAGGAAAAGTATACTCAAATGCATTAGTGAGAGAGGAGAAAGAGTTTATTCACACAATGACAAGAGGAAAAATGAACTGATGTATCAAACTGAAAAGACGATGAACCAATCGCTAGTGGCATTTCATAGAGGTGATCATTTATCCAAATATTTCTATAGATTGCTTTTACTTCTATTTTATTCACTGATAATTTTGTGATTTTGTCTTGACTAATACTATGTATATTTTGCATCCACTCGATTTCTCACCTTAATTTGTAACCAGATCAAATGGAAGCCCAACAGATGAAATTCCATGGAAAATGAGAGCATCAATTCTCCATTTTGTTCAAACACATCATGGTGTGCTAAGATCTATAGCACTTTGCCAATATGAGTGCAGTATTTTCCCAGCAGGCCAGTAATTTTACAAGTTTCATAGGATTAGTTCATACGTGGAAGTTTTCGAGGTTGGATCATGTCTCTAGCTTCTATATTCATGAACATGTGCTCTTCGTTTGTGTTACTATTTATATGTTGTTTTAATTAATAAGTGTTTGCTTTGAACCTCACCTGCGTTGTTAACATTCGACACAACTAACTTGTAATGGGGATAGTACATATGATAGACTTGATTACATTTATTCTTCATCTTCTTCCAGGTTGTGAATGATATTAGTATATCAACTGAGTAGCTTCTTGTGATAAGATTGTACATGTTTGGAATGGACAAACTGGGAAGGCTTGTGTTTTAACTTGTAACCAGATATAATTTGTAGTTGGATATTTGTTTTTCAGAGATTTCATGCACAGGGGATGAAGGGATGTAACTTGCTCCAATCTATATGAAATATCAATGGTCCCAGACATCTTTTTTATAATATATTTTCCTGAAATCGAGACAAAGGGAATGACTTCAGTTTTGTTCGTGTTAATTCCTATTACTTGCTCCCTTTTTCAGTTCACTTGTAAATGTACCAAAAACAAGTTTATTTATATCCTTTTTAATATTCTTATATTATAAGAGAGCTTTGCAATGTACCACCTGGTCAGAGACATTTGACCCGCCCCGCCTATACAATGGTGCGGGTCCACCCCGCTCTGCCTATACAATGGTGCAGGTGCGGGTCCACCCCGCCCCGCCTATAAAATGGTGCAGATTCGGGTATTAGTATTGACCCATGCCGCCCCGCCCCGTCCTGTTCAAAATATAAGTACACATACTTGTTTTTAAATTATACTACAATGCAGGGTGGAATCCAAAATCCCTAACTTATGTAGGTAAAGTGGAGTTGATTAGGTCAGTAATGCAGGGTGTATAGTCATTTTGGCTTGGCATATTCCCAGTTCCTCGAACTATCCTTGACCGAATTGTGGGTATATGCCGTATTTTCCTTTGGGGGGAGCATGCTACAGTTGCATGGGATGATGTTTGCTTACCTAAGGAAGAGGGGGTTTGGGATTGAAGGATACTAAGGTGTGGAGTAATGCCCTCCTATCCCGAACCTTATGGAATATACACTCCAAACAAGATTTACTTTGGGTTAGGTGGGTCCATGGTGTGTATCTCCATGGGAGGGATGTGTGGACATTTATTCCACACAATAGGGATTCCTTGTTAATGAAGAGGTTTGCTTTGATTCATGACTTGATTGTGTCCAAATTCTCCTCTCTTAATGATGCTTTAGACTAACTCGAAAACATTACTAATGATGGGAGATTATCATCATCTCAGATGTATGTTTTACTAAGGATTAAGGGCACTGCACATCTGTGGATGCCATTCATATGAAAATCGTACATACCCCCAAAATTTTTATTCATAACGTGGCTAGCTTTTCAAAATAGGCTAGCCACGTTTGATAACTTGAGATATCTTGATGTAATTTATATATGTCCTTTTTGTAAGGGTGGCTCGAAAACGGTGTCACACCTATATTTTGAGTGTCATATTGCAGGACAGGTTTGGAGCAAGGTAAAGGCATGGCTAGGCATCACACGACAAATGACAACGCTGAGGAGTGCGGTGAAATGGATCAAGAAAGACCATAATGGAGCACACATAAAGGCCAAAGCCGTGGTGATCACTTTTTGCTATATCATCTATTGGATGTGGAGAACAAGGAACTCCATTCGTTTTGATGCCGTAAAGTTCAAGGTTGGGGATATTGTGCACCACATTAAGTATATGGTGTACAAAGTGCTTTACTTTATGTATTCGTACCATACGATAACTTTCTAGGGGCTTTTTTGCAATCTCGTCACCTATTTTTTGTGATGGCTTGCATGATGTTTGACTAGAGTGCTAGCTATCTAGTCTATTTCTTGAGGTGATAGGGTATCCTAACTTAGGATGCCTATAGTTTTGATTTTTGTTCATATGATGTACAAAAAACTCTTGGATGATTCTATACATATTCACATTTCATCCAAAAAAATTATACTACAAATATATTTCTACACACATATGTGTGTATATAATGAATCATAAATTATTTGTGTTGGTCTCGGTTGAACAGAGAAACTGTCTAGAGCGGGGGGTGAAAATCTCTAAATTCCTAATTTGTACAACATCATCAAAATCCAAAAACAATTTATTCCTTACACTTTGGTCTTGTAATATATTAATATTTATATTAGAATGAGATGAATGGTGAATTATCAATATCTTCTTTATATATAGTATTTTAATTTACATATTCAATGATTAATATAAATAGATTAACTATTCAATGATTAATATAAATATATTAATATAAATAGATTAATATAGTAGTCGTAGTACTACGACTACTACTACTACGACTACTACTACTACTACTACTACTACTACTACTACTACTACTACTACTACTACTACTACTACTACTACTACTACTACGACTACTACTACTACTACGACTACTACTACTACTACTAAGTATTTATTTCTTAATTTTTGAAAATTTTAGCTTATTATGAATTTGATTTAATATATTACCCCCTCCATCCCGAATTGTAAGGCACTTTACGATTTACAATGTTTGACCGACGATAAAGCAAACGGATCCCTGCCCGCATTCAAATTATTTTTAGAAAACAAGAACTACATATTCACAAACTACATTAAAAGCTTTACAAAATCGAAAAAATCAGAATCAAATTTGATAAAATTTTGATATATAAAGTAAGATTAAGAGTGATTTGTGTTGACCAAGTGAATAGGAAAAATATCTTACAAAATGGGACTGAGGGGTGGGTATAAAAGTGACTATAAGGGGTGGGTATAAAAGTGAGTATAAGGGGATGTGTACAAACAACATTTTTCTTCAAATTTTGATCGTAAGGTGTTAAGTGTGTCCACAAACGAGTTCAAATCGAAAACCGAAGTAGGCCAAACTTGAAAACCAGAACCGGACCGAATCGGAATGACATCTGTTGGGATATTGGGCCAAAGGCCTAGATATCCAGCCCAATAGTTAGCCAAGGATCCAGACGAAGAGCAGGCCCAGTGAGATATATGTACCGAACGAGATCCAATGAAGCATGAAGGATTACACCCCGAACGGGGATCGGGTCAACCAGGGTACTTGGGCCAGATCAATAATGTTTTCAGCATGGGCCATCATTCCGTTGTCCGAACGGGCAGCTGACAAGTGGCAAGGAGCATTTATTGCTACGAAGTGACAGCAGCAAGTGGAAACATGGGCATCCAACTAGCAGGGAATGGCAGCCAATCGGCTTCAACCACATCATCACCCCATCTACCTCTTTTTAGTATAAATAGGAGTACTAATTACAATGTAAGGGTTAGCATTTTGATACTCAAGGCCTAGAATAGCTTTCTCACTCTTGTTCTTGTATTAATCACTATTCTGACGTATCATTCGGGAAATTTCATGTGTAATCAGCGAATTGCTTAATACAAATGGGCTTTTGATCATAACATTGATGGAGTATATGGGTCTGAGCCCCCGGACCCACATACTCGGAAGAACAGAAAGCACAAGACACAGAGTGGCGCCCTCGTCGGCCAAGACGCCCCCGTCGGCCGAAAAGGGACCAACTCAGATTATGGTCCTGAGCCCAAGGAACCCGGGTGCCCTCGTCGGCCGCGCCCTCGTCGGCCACGCCCTCGTCGGCCACGAAGACCCCACAGAACCGGATTTTATACTTACTCATTCGTACAGCCCATTAGTGGCTTTGTATTCAGCCCAGTAGCGGTCCAGTTGTAAATGGGCCTCCCAAGCCCGTATTTTCTCTATAAATACTCCCCTTGGGAGTAGTTATAGGGGTTACAAATTCATTCTATTGAAGCATATTATTGCACTTCTCTCTCTAGTTCTCACTTCTCTC